CAAAGTCGAAGACGAGAACTCCAAAAACATAAAAAAAGTGTCTCCCAGCTATTAAAGACATTCACAACGCTCAAACACGCGATCACGAATTATTTCGTGTAGATAAATGGGGCCGGACGAAAAACAGGAGATGAAGGAGTGAGGGAGGAATGGTTCTTAGAATATCCACGCCAACCCATATCTTATATCAACGGCCGGGGTGCAGAATCTGGAGGTCAACCTATGGAGCCCGATTTTTTGGGGTGGAGATAGGGTTACAAGAAAGGGTAAAAAACGGAAACGGAACAAATAAGGTATGCTTTGTGTTCCGAACGCTAGTGAGTTAAATTCCGGGGTTCGAACGTTTTTAAACGAATTCTAAATCACAAAAATTAAAATTATGCACTTTAAATAGAAACCAAGTTCCAAAATAAACTTTTATTAATGTTAATAAGTTAAAAAACACCAAAAAAATATTGACTTAACTTTTAAAGAGGGTCGGGTAATTTCGCATATTTGCTAAATATGACTAATAAAAAGTTTCTATTCTTAAATACAACAAAAAACATGGGCAAAAGATACACCTTAAAAACTCAAGTCTAAAAAATCCCAAAAACCAATCTAGACTTCCCCGCCGACACATTTCCAAAATATAATTTGCGCTCCCCCCAGCTCAACCTAACGATTTTTGATGTCTAGTTCGTCATCTACCGCACTCTACCGGAAGCTAGTGAAATTTATCGGAAACGTTAAATCGTTTTAGGCTGCTGGAAGGCGGGAAGGAAAAGGTGAGCAATTGTTGCCCACTGAAAAGCGTGGGAACCGTTCGATTTGGCAAAAACTGGGGAACGAAAAGTCGTCGTGGTACGGGTTGATAGGTGCGGAACGGAATATCACATTTTCATCGTAATTTTCACTAATAATAAAAGCTATGGATTTGTTAATAATGGATTGAAATATGACTTACTACTTTGATGAATACGAAAAAAAGTAAGCAAAAATGCGTAGTGCGAATCGGCGAAAAACGAAAGATTGCACTGTCCTGTCAATTTTCATTCCAATATCGTGATAAATTTAATAAAAATCGATTTATGTATGAATCTATACTTTTCTTATGGCAAGAAATAAGCTGAAAAACGTAGTACAGGGGGATACTACGTGCGAAAAGGAAACCTATTGCTTTTCAGCTAAAGCCAGTAGCACTAAGGCGAAAAGTTAATTCCAAATAATTTTGTGTATATTTTTATGTGATCTTAATATCGGAAAAAAGGATGAAAAATCGTAGTTTTATTAAAACTAGGCTGTTTAAGGCTATGTTTCTATTAAAATCAAGGTTTTTATACGAATCCTAATACCTAAAAGCTTTTCTCCTCTGTCCGCCTGCCTCTAATATTTACCGAACACCTTCCGGGGGTTTACATTGTTATGAATACATAAAACCCTAGTGTTGCCACAACTGATACCCATATCAATATTCTATGCGCGCTCTCTCCCTCTCTCACTTGAGAATTCTCAAAGAGAAAGCCATGTGCCCTGCGCGGATGTAGAGGAGAAGTTTTTTCAAAAACGTTCTGGAGAGCTGACTTTGGCCCCCATGCAATTTAGCCATGGCTACCCCAAGATCTTTCTCCCCTTTACTCCTCTATGCATTTAATTGAAGATTATTCGGATAAGAAGTCGACGAGCTATGGTATTGAAGGGAACGCTCGAGATTTAGAAGTGAAGCGGGGGTGTTTAGAAAGTTGAAAAAGTATTAAGTTATTATTTTTTTTATTTCATCAACTGCATCGGGCGAAAGCCCTTTTCGCTATAAATCCATTTAAAAAATTTTCAAATTTCGAATTTTCATGGCTGAATTTTTGAACTTAAAGGCAATATTTAACTAAGCTTTTGTGCCTGTTCTATTCATTTTAGACATCATTTTAAAAATTTTAGGTGAAAATCATCTGTTTGAGAAATTTTGCGAGGCTATATTTAAAATTTCAAGAATCATCTTTAAAATCAATAAAAAACTTTCCAAATTCTGAAAAATATGGACGATGCTATCAAAATGGCAAACATTTAGTGCAAAATAAGTCTCAAGCGATACGGATTTTATTCGTCAATAACATAGCCAGAAAATCTTCTAAAACAAGGCGACGTCGGCGCAATTCCGAGAAAGCAAAGTAGGCATCCATCGTCCGTGTTAGTAATCTCTGAAACCACGCTCTCGGGCGGCTATGCATAGCTGAGGCCTGCCCATAAACCGGGGAAATCTCTATAAAAAAACCCATATTTTATGTCTGGAACGGCAACTGAGAATTGACAATGATTTGCGCTTTCGGGCAAAGAAAATGTATAAAACTAAAGGTTTTTGAAGCCTTATTTGGCTATTCATAAAGGTTTTTATGGCATTAAAGGTCCGCCGCCAAGAACAAAAACCTTATGCCATTTAAATAGCGTCGCGTGCTGGAGGGAAAACAACGGAACGTTTAGATTAGCGCTTCCTGAGCTTTTAAAGGTGTTAGGAAGCCTGAAAACTAACCCACCAATAGACAAGGTATAGACAGCTCAGAGGCGAGATACTGCCCCTATTAAAACGCATTTTCCTGGGTACACAAACTTTTCATCAGCGTATTTTGATGTAACTTGTAGCTGGCTAGACCTAGTCGATGACAAGGGGCGATTTTGGCCGTTCCAAATCCATTTACTACCCATTTTTGCTAATTTCCATACTCAATAAAAAGCTCAAATTCTTTATATTCCATCCCCAATTCATACCACACTTTTTTCTTACATTCAGAAAATTCCCCTCCCTCCTAATGCCGATTAGTCGCCTAATCCCAAAAGAAACCCCAGCCCCCTCTGTCTGGGCAGCCTGATGATCCAATGGTACCTAATTGATTGGGGTGTGCACCACAACTCAACTCCTGTACTCTCTCTCTCCCTCTCTCTCTCTCTCTCTCTCTCTCTCTCTTCTCTCTCTCTCTCCCTCTCTCTCGCTCTCTCTAACTTACATGACTTTAACAACTCAAAACGGATCAAAAAGACATCCCCCACTCACCCGCCTACAAAATCCGTTCTAATTTTTCGTCGATAGCGTGTTTCCGGAATCTCCCATTCGGAACGCTTTTTTTGGTCCATTGTCCGTCTGAGGGCCGGCGGCGCCCCGGAAAGAAGAGGGCTCAATTTTTGCGCCTCATATTCCCGCATTAAGGCCCCCGGCCCCAGGGCCCCCAGATGCTCCTTTTCGTGCTTTGATTCAGGCCCTCGAGGGGATGGAGACCTTGTAAATATGATACCGAAAAAATTGGAGGCGTCCCGGGGTGGGACTCCCACGGAAGTCACACTCAACCCTTTCCGATCAAGCCTCAAAAACTGTGTTTTCAGCACCGACCACCTGGGAGTATCTTCGCTTAAAAGGCGATGGCTTATGAGATTTCTCTGTTATTCGGGGCTGCATGGCTTTTGAGCGTGGAGCTTGACCTGCAACGCTGCTCTCTCTCTCTCTCTCTGTCTCTCTCTCTATCTCTGCATACCCATGTGCTCCCAATTAGCCATCACTTTTCAGAAGAAAATTTTTGTTCAATTACTCCACGCTTTTCTGCATTTCCGCACTTCCGGCAAAAATTTGGCTTTGTTTTCCATTTTGCACGTTTAAGGCATTTCGAAGTATCTTTAGATTTGGTATAGAATCTTTAATAGAATGTCTCACTCTCTCTATCTCCCCACTCTCCCTTTCTCTCTCTCACTCTCTCTCGCTCTTTTTTTCTGTCTCTCTCTCTCTCTCTCTCTCTCTCTCTCTCTCCCTCTAGCTCTTTCTTTTTCTTTCTCTCTCTCTCTCTCTCTCTCTCTCTCTCTCTCTCTTTCTCTCTCTCTCTCTCCCTCCCTGTTTTGTTGCCTTTTCGCCGCAAAATTCAATTTTAACTTACTTTGACCAATCCTTGAAGGCTTCCCGGGCTTGAAGGCTTCAAATATAGACTTTGATTTTGATTTCAAATCTTTACAGCCTTTTTAACATATTTCTATGATTTATTATCTAATCCCTCATCCAATCCTCTTCTCATCCTCTCTGAAAATTCGATCTCAATTTGCTCCCCCCTGCAATGCTTCTTCTTCTATTTTTCAATTCCAGCCCCCATCCCTCGAATGGCCCTTGTTTAGTATTAGCGCCAAAAGCCGCATTGCATTTTTAATCGGAACTCTGGCGCTTAGATGAAGCCTCACGTGTTTTTTTGGCAATTCCGAGCCGCTGCGCCCGAACGGGCAAAAAGCGGCCTTTCCTTAAAGGCTGAATGTTGCGTTCTAATAGAATCTATACATTTTTAGCTAGGAAACGAAGAACGGATCTGCTTTTGTTTTGGCATCCGGTAACCAGATCTTCGGCCAAAATCTTTCCCTTTTCATTAGGCGCTCTATTATTCTTGGTATGCGCGCCTTGCCCATTCTCATGCCAATATTTTGCGAATATTCTGAATTACAAAACCAATTGCTTTTTTGACGTTGTTAAATTGATTTCTATATTTTATATAATCTCTTTTTTACTGCTAAATGCCGAAAAAATAATCCCGAAAGTCATGATGTTGAAAATCATAATTTCGAAAATCATAATGTCGACATTTTTTACAAAGACTTTGGAGGTTGTTTTAGAAGTTTTTCCTACGTCAATTTCGTTATTCTGAAATTCCTATATTCTGATATTTCGGTATTTTGAATTTTCGACATTCTGAAATTTCGAAATTATGGTTTCCTACTTTTTCGAAAGAATTCATATTTAATAATTCCATTTTTTCAGATGATGAAATTAGAATGCTATATTCGATTATTTCTTGCAACGTTTGAACTGTTAATAGCAGTCCTATGTACCCTATTCTTCTTCAAAATATTGTCAGTCCTAAAGAGCAAATCCAGCTCCCCATTCTATACAATGTTATTAGCAAATTGTAAGTTAAATTTAAATAGTTACTAATTTCCGCAATTTTTTATGTGCAATAGATGTTGTATATTTATGCGGCCACTCGACGTGGCTGTTTTTTGGAGAAATGGGAATTGACCCGAGGCCGATGTGGATTGCGCAAATGGCTGCCGAGGGGGCACTAATCGCTTTGCATATGGGCGTTGTGTTGTCGGCATTTAGTCGATTTTGTGCGATCGTGCAGTATAGTCAATATAAAGCGGTAAGTCATTACTTTAAATAGATATTTTTTATATTTAGAGGACGTAAAATATAATACCGTAGCCACGTACGAATAACTAGGCTTTAAAGGGCTAAAAGCTAAAAAAACCGACCCCTTGTTTGTCTATGTTTCGCCAACTACACTCAAGCCGAAAACTAGTTAATTTGAGTTACGAGTTATAATGCGCGGCTTTTCGGACTTTTCCTGCTTAGTCGTTCTCTCGCTTACTAATCCCTTTAAAGGTGCAGTGAAGGCCCAGTCCATAGTCTAGGATCTTTGGTAAAAACCATGATCGTCAAAAATATTTATTTTGCCTTCCAAGTACCTTTAAAACAACGCTAAAATTCCATATTTAGGTTCTCTCACGGCGCGGCACTTTCACTTATATTGTCGTGCAAATCGGAACTGCATTCGTTGTCCGCTCCGTACTTCCACCCGGAAATCATCCGGAACGTACACAGGGTGGTACGATAGATCGTGATACGATGGTATGTCATATTACATACTTTTTTTTACATTGTTCTTTAGCTAACCTGCATGATCCACTTTGCCTGCGCCAGCGCGGCAGTCCTCCTCGCAGCCCCACTCTATGCAAAAAGCCACCAAGCCTTAAACTCAAATAACCGGAAAGGGTTTGTGGCTCTCACATCTATTATCCAATAACAACTTTTAGATGGAAAAGCAGCGCCGTGAGAACGGCGGAAATCCGGCGCCTCCGCTTTTGCTTGGCCGCGCTGATATTTCCGCTCTTTTATTCGCTGCTCCAATTGGTTCTCATCGGGGTGTTGGTGAAGAATCATAAAGCTTATCGAGAGATATTGAGGATATTGGTAAGGGTTGGATAGTTTAAATGACTAGACAGGGTGTCAAAAAAACCCTCCGGATTTCGAGGTATTACATCCGATCGGTTCCAAAATTGGACCAGAGGTGTAGCAGACCCTAGAAACCATAATCCTCATTTATATACCTCATTTACAGTAGTTTTCGGGTTACAGCAAAAAAAATTCTTTTACTTTTTAGAAGGGTTCCCGTGGTCCTTCTTGTAAATATTAAATAGAAATAATGTGGCAAGACTTCTTTACCCTAGAATTTTTATGACAAGAATCAACCAAATAAACGCTGAATTAAAAATTTTTATAATGTAAAATTCTGTTAGATCTTAGCCGTCTGCAAATCGATGTAGAGTACAAAAAGAGCCGAAAACCTGCTCACAACTGCAAAAAAACAGTATTTTTCCTATAACTCCAAAACTACTGTAGCTATGGCGTTATAAATCAAGATTATTGTTATTTAAGGTATGATACACCTCTCGACCAATTTTCGGGTAAATTGGGTGTGATACAGCGGAATACTCAAGCGCGTCATTTTTGGGACACCCTGTAGCTTCAATATTTTAGGGCTGGATGCTGCTATGCCTTTTTGTGACTTCCCAACCACTATCAGTTGTTCTCTTCTCGTCGGTGCTACCAAAATTCTCTATCATTGCGAGGATACAAAAATCGAGTGCTTCTACGAACTCTCAATTTGCCAATGACACCCCTTCCGTGGTGATACAAAGAGACGATTTGGATCGAAATTCTAGTTTTAGAAGTGGAGGATGATGATAAAGATTTGCTCAACAGAGATTGACAGAGACGGAGATAAAAACCTCATAAAAATCTATCAAAAATGACAAAAAATTTCTAAGTTAAAAGGTTTTTGTAACATCGCTAAAAATCGAAAACTACGAAGAACATTGTAAAAATACAATATTCATTTTTAACAGCTAGGTACAGACGGAAAACAAAATTTGGTTCTCCCCGCTAAGAGCCCAGTACCGTTCACCACTGACACGGTGTTAATTTGAGGTGGTCTTGTGTGTTCTGAGGGCCACAGATCATCTAAGCACCTCGACTTTCCACACGTGGAGGCAGGCAGGCAGGCTGACATCGCAAATAGAGACACACACACACACACAACTCAATCGTTCGCAAGGTGGGGGCCCACCCCGTAGTGTTGCGGACGATGCTGCTGGCAACTGGTACCGTCTGCTATATGACGGAACAGAGACAACAACATCTCTTTTTGAACTTGTCAATCGGAGCAGTGTTTCATAAGGAAAGCGAGTTGGCGATTTGCTTGATATGTGTTTTTTTTGTCCTAATCATTCCTGTTTTTACGTTCGGGATAACTGCCATGAAACCGTACCTTTTCAGTTTTGGACGTAAACACCTCTCTCTCTTTGGTTTAGTCTGACGGCGTCGATAGGTGTATACGTAGTAATGTTTGTACATGCGCATGCTGATAAATACACTTCATGATATTTTGCGTAAAACCCTGTACTATTTTAATTAAATAGATGGATTAAAGTGTTTTCATTTCCTCATCCCTTCGGTTCCTTCGAGTAATCACTGAAAATACTATAAAATTCTGACCTAAAAGGTGATGCATTTGGAGCTTGTTTTATGCTGCTATCCCTGAAGATTTAAGCTATTATTATATATAATATAGTTCCTTCTTTCAAAATTCGTATTAGGAATCTACAATTTTTACGAAAAAAACCAATTCATTCGCTTCAAAGTGATCTCTTTTTGGCTTGGCTTGACTTGAGTATACTCTAGGAGTCTGAAATATTCCTCCTTCATTTTTTTTCAATAATTTTGATAGAAAAACAAGCTTTTCGCGCTTTCTAGTTCGTTATAAAATCATAAACAAAATTTCTCTAGATTTTTGACGCATTCCGTGACCAAACAACGTAAAACATAAATTCGATATTTTCTGAATAACAGCATTTTAGCGGCAATTTTTATGAATTGATCGATTATTTTATTATGCTGGATATTTACGGCCAGCAAGCCGCTTTATGCAGATATAATCAATTTTGTTTAGCGTTATAAAACTATTATTGGGACTGCGCGACGCTCCCATCAACCTACCATAACTCTCCCTGCCATTAATGCACATCGTAATTTGCCAAAACCAGTGCGACTACGTTATTTTGTCCATTGAACCCCCAATAACGTCATTTTCCCCTAGAAAACTACCGCGGTCGGGTGTTTGCACCCACTTTTTGGCCTGGACTACCCGGTGAATCAACTTACAAACATGACCCAAATCACAGATGTTTCACCCGGCCCATTTACGCCTCTTTGCGGGCTGCGTGTCATCAGAGACCCCAAAATGGTCTTACGATCTCTCTTTCCACCCCCTGCTCATTTTGTGGTCTGTTGTCTAGTTCTGAATTTGGAATTGAGAAAGTGTCGTCCAGGGGGGTATCCCCGGGAGACTTTGTTTCATGATGACATCGGCCCGCCTTGGGACCCTTGCCACCCAAAAACACAATTCGTTGCTGATCATATTCTAGTGATTGTTCTTTAGAAAAGGCAGAAGATTTTCAAGGCATTAACGATTCTAATTATCTCATTAAATTGGATGTATATATTACCTGCTTTTTGAGCGAGTAGAATTGTCGGTGGTTCCAGGTTAATGGGGGGAGGTTGCCAATTTTTTCTTTTTTTTTGTCCTTTACCTGCCTATGGATAAATTGGAGTTTATTTTAATATATATTTTTAGTTTTCTGAAATTATAAAAAAATTATCCTGCAGTCGCCAAATCTCACGGTTTAGCTCGTATTTCATAATTTTAGTAAAGGTTAGATTGAAAAAGCAAAAACGTCAACCAATTTTATGATGTTTTTTAATTTCTCGTCCAGAGACGACTTGAAACGGCGTACAAATCTATTAACGACAAACTTTTAATTCGTTTAATTTAATTCGTCTTTTAATTCTTGATTTCATTTTCTTGTGGTATTAAATAAAAATTAAATCATAAATAAGCGAAATCCCGGTTTTTTCGGTTAATTCATGTTTTAGAAAGCCCATAAAATCTCCTTTGCGTGTGTTTCCTCGAGCCTAAGACCTTGTTTTTTGTCTCTCATATAATTCTCTTAGAAATCACATTTAGGTAGTATGTTGATACCCACATTATTCTGCCTCATCACATTAACATCAGCCTCAGAATATGCATACGCTTCAACCCTATCGTCGAACGACTTCCTATTGGCGGCAGAAGTTCTTGGTATCGCAATATTCCACTACCATCTAGAAACCTATTTTCAGCCTATCGAATCAACTCTTTTAACGACTACCCCTATATCGTAGTGGCTACAGAAGATATTACCAATAAATCGATCGAAGCGCTAAAAGTATGTAAAAATTTTGGACGCTGAAAATTCGATTATTTAGAGTCTAAATGTTACGGTAATAGTGAAGCCAAAAATTGATACGCCGTATAAGGCCAGTCACAAAGCTGCAAAATATCAGGTATTTAAGAAATTTAGTTTGTAAAGTTTTTTTAGTATACCAAAATATACCTTTGGTCGTTAACACAATATAAAAAGATTTTGCACCTCGATTTGGACACAATTCCGATGCGACCATTGAGCGAGGTGAGACTTTGATTCCTGAAATATTGACGGTTTGTTCATTTTCTTTAATTTATAATTGTCTAATTTTGATAATTTAATCAAAGCTTTATAGAAAAACTGAAATTTAGCAAATAATAAAATTCTGTAATTTTAACTCTTAAACAAATTAATTAAGGTTTTCCAATGTGGCTCCTTCTGCGCGACATTCCGACATTCCGATCGGTTCAATTCTGGCGTATTTGTGTTAGAACCAAATATGACGGTATTCTAAAATACACTAAACCTACAGTAGCCCTCTCTTTAGGTCTACCATGATATGCTCGAAAAAGTGGACCACTTGGTATCATATGATGGTGGAGATCAAGGGTTCCTGAACACCTATTTTGACCAACTAAAGGTACGAATTGTCCTTCAGAAGATCAAAGGTTTCGATTTCGCAAAAAGGCGCTTATCGTACACCATGCTATCGGGGGACGCGTCAACACTGTAGATGATTCACAGTAGATTTTATGGGGGTGGCATTGTGGTTGGAAACTTTCTGGGAGAGATAAGAGGCTGGAGCACGGAAAGATCCAAAATTTGGGGGTAGTAGAAATTGCAAAAAATACGGATTTTGGTACGCAATTTAGTAAAAATCAATTTAACAACTTAAACCCTGCACTTGAAGCCGTTCTAATAAAAATACATCATCGTCTGGATCTTAAGTACGTTTAAAAACCTTCGAAAATATATTCAAAACTAGACAAAACCTCTAAAATAAAAATTTCAAAACATAGTGATTTTGCCGAAAAAGCTTATTCTCACAAATAAATTCTATAGTTAATTAAGATGAGTAAATTAGATTAATTTACATAAACAAAATATTTATCTATCATTTAGTATGCCCCCATGTTTGATGGAAGTTCATTATCTACAAAATTCCCACGTCCAGATGGTCTTCGAACACTTTCTTGGTCTTACAACTATGATGTAGGAATGTAAGTATCTCGCATTAATGTAAATAATCCCGACATGCTGATTGGGAAGCGAAAGACGGCAGAAAAATGACTTACAATGAGTTATTATCCAAAGTAATACCAAGAATATGCCAGAATTTTGGCTGTCGGCTCCATGTCTGGAATTCGCCACAAAAGCGCTGGATGTCGAAGCTCAATTAGCATGTAGAGAGACCTCTTGATCCCACAGATTTATGATACGGGCCGAGCTCAAAAGAAGCACCGCTAAAAATTATGCGGTGAAAGAGTCAAAACACCATATAGCAATGACCTTCGGGGTATACAAGCAAAAACCAAAAAGTCGGCCTCAGTGCCACTGGAAAAAGGCCGCGAAGCGGTCCTTTTCCACTGGTGATTCAACAATAAGTTTCATCATCGGCCATCCTGGCACTGCCGGGGGTCGAACCCGGGCCTTGCGGGCGGGGAGGGGCGCCTCCCGCCATTCGGCCACAGTGCCAGCAGAGAGGGGGAGGGGACAATGAACTTTGAACCCTCAGGGGGAGAGCGGCCGGCCAGCGGCGCAGGCTGGCAATAAGCGGTAATTTTAATATTTTCGAGTTTTTGGGCCAGAAAATTGTTTTTTTATTCAGCTGATAATAAACCAGTAGAATTGAACGTTTGGACCGGATTTCATTAAGAGAATGGCCAGGGGTATAAAACTTAATGCAAGGTCCAGAAAGTCCATTTTGGCTGCGAATAATAGAATCTATACCTTAGCTTTTAGCTACTACATCACCGGCGGCCGTCTCCTACTCCAACCAAAAATCATGCATTTCACGCTCGGACCCGTCAAACCGTGGCTCTGGTGGAGTTACCCGATCTTCAATTTGAATTGGGAGTGGCTGGCTGTTAGGTATCGATTTTTAAGGTACCTTTGATATCCCAAAAATTTAGAACAGCTATGGAAGCCGAGGTATTCGCACCTAGAAATGATTTCTATCTACTTATTGCCAGCTCTTTCTTGGTCGGCATTTTCTATTCGATCTATCAGGTCAGTTTTTCTTGATTCGCGTTTTATAATGTTTGTTTCAGATTTTACATTTTTATTGGCATGGGAAATATTCAAAGGTCGAGTTAACGAAAGCGGAAGAATTGCTGATACCTAGCTTCATCTTTTGTGGCGGGATCCTGGCGGCTTTTCAAATAATTCCTACGCAAACGCATCCGTCAGTTGCGTGGACGTTTTTCTTTGTAAATATGGTGAGTTATAGATGTTTTGGCACTGAGCAATTAACGGGGGGTGAAGGGTTAGTGTTTTAGTGGTTTTTATTGCTAGAAAGATGCGAAAAATGCCTACAATTTCTGGCCCTTTCTGAAATTTGTCGTTTTTAATTTTTAGGTGCTTTTTGTCGAAAATCATGTAAAGTGCTTTGAGATTACTTATATTTCATGATATGGCCGAATAAAAGTACTAGAAAAATTTGATTTTCCCGCTATGCCCCCCGCTAACAGTACAGTACTGATATTTTTACAAGAATTAACGACATAACGTAATACCTCATTCCAGATCTTATGGCAAGTATTCCTAGCCGGCTGCTACCGTAGCATCCGCTCCGGCCTCCGCCTCCCCATCTGTGAATGTGCTCGTTTTTGCTGTATCAGCCTCTGTATCTGCTGTGGTCTCTGGATGGCCCTCCTTTCCGTTTCTAACTTCTATCTCCGTTCCCTGCTCCTCCTCTCTGCCGGCCCTTCCGGCGCCATCTCCATTTTCTTCCTATTAAGACGATTAATGGGAATGGACAAGCATTATCGTGTCTCTTATGCTCTTATCGAACAGATTCCTCAAATGGTCAAACTCGCCAAGTGATCTCAAATTTACGCAATGTCTTGTATTGTAATTAGTGATTTGAATAAACCGTTTATTCGCAATTTAACTACCACCCATCAATCCGAAACTTTGCTAAAGGCTAAAATGCAAAATAATAGGAACTGGCAACGCAAAATTGTGGTATTTTGGTGTTTTTTTAGTGCTTTTCTATACACGATTTGAGGCAAGGATTTTTCGTTCGCATAGATCTTGGCAGGGGCGGTAGTTGCAGCCGACAATTTGGCGGCAGATGTTTAGCTGAAATGGCTTGTTTATATTAATAAATATGCAATTTGCTAAAATTATTCCTGTTACTTGTAATTAATATGCAAATTTACCAAAAAAGGTTTATGGACCCTATCTAATTGATATGCAAACTAAATTAAAGTGCTTTATATACTACGTAATGATATGCAAATTTAGCTAAAAAGTTTATATATTATTTAATTAATATTTAAATTACCTGTTCCTTCGAAACTTCCACCGGAGTAGTGAAAATTGTCCAGATCACCGATTCGTTGAAAGGCGGAGTCGTTAGAGAGCCCAGATAAGTTACAAAATCGCGATGATCTGGAAATTTTAATCTTCAAAAACCATTTCATTAAATGCCTACCGCTTCCAGGCATCAGCTGCTCAATCGTAAAATCTTTACACATATTTGTCGGTTCCCCGGCTTCATTTGACTATAAAATTACTGTATTTTTCCCCTCGATCCGTTTTTACCTTTTTAATTGCCGCCAACAACGGATCGTAATTAGCATTATGCTTCCCCTCATGGATAAATACTCCAACGACGGCCAACCCATCCGGCTTCTCCAGCGCCTCATCAATATTTGCATATTTTGTGTTCCAGAACACGAAATGGACCTGACATGGGGGAATGCATTCTCATCTAATTCCATCTGACATACCTCAGCTGCCTGCGGCTTTCCGTTAATTGTATGTTCGCTGCCCTGGCTGCCATCTTGGCTCCAATGAGCATGGAATTGGGCTAGCAGGTATTTGCCTTCCAGGTGCGAGCCGGTCAGGGCTAAAAAAAAGAACGTTTTTGATCGTAAATGATGGGTTTTGTAAATTGCCGACAACTCAAATCCCACGAGTCAAAATCTCGACAAATTGAACTACCGATTTGCGAATCGCAACCCAAAATACCGACATAAAAACCATGACAGTAAACTGCCCCACGTTAATATATCGCTCTATGCGCAATGTCGACAGCCAAAACACCGACATTCGAAATCCTGACAGACGAATGCCGACAAGCGCAAACACCGACGACAACAATCTCCCCAGTCTAAAGTTCAAAATCCAAGCAAGTAATTCAAAATACCGACAACTTTGGACAATGTTAAAAAATGCCGACGAAAGAAATGGCGATAAAAAAATAGCGACCAGGATGTCTAATTACATGCAAAGTAAGACGTTTTTCAATGTCAACGATTTGCGCCTCGGAATTTTGACTGTCGGCATTTTTACTGCTTGAATTTTGACTCATGACATTTTTCATTTTATTTAAATCTCTTCTCCCGCTTCGAAATACCAACATTTTGCCACATGACTGCACCAGGGCGGATAATCCAAAAAGGGTGGCCTAGCTACGCATTTCCGAGATGCCCACAAAAATCCTTCGGAACACAACATGCCCGGTGAAGCATGGGAAGGGACCCCCGGTTTCCGGCAAAAACAATAGAACACATTAGGAATTCTTTTTAGTGTTTTTGCCCACGTGTGCCGGCCTCGAGGAGAAAAAGAGCTAGAGTGTCGTTCACGCAAAAATGAACGGTGTACGCTTTGAACCTTTGAACGGATTTTATAATCGTTATAAGGGTGGAAACTTACTACTAGCACAATTTTCGGCGACATTCACCCTCCAGCCAGCTTCATTGCATCCAACATCCACACAGTCACCAAGTTTGTAATCGATGTGCAGAGATTGGACCTGGAATTCAGCGTTTTAAAGGGACGGCTAAGGCATGGTTATGGATTTGGTAAGTCCGCTATACGCAACGCACTAGCCATTCTGTTGCGTTATGAATTATAAAATCTCTGATGCTTTGAGTGTTTATTTTCACGAGCCCGCGACATGCAACGCGCCAACATTCCATAGCTTAATCGATTAAGCTTTTGCACGTTGCGTTGCGTGTCGCGCTGAGCAAATCCTTTGGAAACCCGTAATCGTTCCTTTACCGTCCCGTTAAAGGCACAAACAAGAAAAAAAAATGGCTTTTGTGACCTATGAATTCACCCTGGATTTTCCCGCGCCGCGACACGCAACGCGCGCCCCGACTTCCCATAATTTCCGGGTCGTAATCAATTACGCCATGCAATCGGGCGCGTGCGCGTTGCGTGTCGCGGTTGTGGGGAAAAGATAACAGATTAAAAAAAACATGTATATCGATTTTAAAGGACCAATGAAGACAAAAACAGACTACTATAGACACTATCGATCCTGCCGATACCGTATCCCACCTGACAAACATTCGGATCGCAGCAAACCTTGTCGGTCTGAATATCAATCGGCGATTGGCGGTGCCTCTTGGCGATTGCTGAAAATTTGGCTTGTTTTCAAGTTGTGCTGCTTGGGGGTGATGTTTGGCATAGCCCCACTGGGTCCAAATTCCCATGCAATTCAATCCCCCTCCCGGACCGACGTCATCCGGGTCATCCCGGTGGTCTTGCCATCAAAAATGTTGCGTATATGAGAAAAGTTGGAATGTATTATAATAAAGTTGTAGTTGTATAAAAGCAAAACAAAAAGAAAGAGAGCTGACTTTTGAGCGCTAATTTCTCCTGGCGACCAATGTATCTTTCCAAGCTTTTTATCGCCCGTAAAAAATGACTTTTTTGAGTTTCATGAATTTTTCTGTATTGTCCAGAAAAATCCAGAAAAATAAAAGAACCCAGAAAATCTGATTTTTGAACGTTCGCTTTTCCCCCCACTAAACCAAAGTCTTCTTTTCCATAATTCCCCCCAATTCTACTCCCTTTCCGCTTTTTCCCAATTTTCTAATCCACCAAATCCCACAGGATTACCCGAAAAAATGGGGGATTTTGTGGGGGTGGGAACGAAGAACAATATTACCCGAACCCGCCGAAAAAAAAGACTTACTCATTTTCCCGGTGAACAGGCGGGCCTTTGGTAGAAAGTTGTGAAGGTAGAAATCTACAAGGAAATCGGGGAGGTCATGGAGAAGATGGGAGACACCGTCCATCGTGGAAAAATTCGGAATTTTGGTTTTAGTAGTACGGAAGCTTAGAGTTTAGATAGAAAATCCGCCAGCCAGCCTGGTGGCTTAAATTGCTTCAGTTTTTAGGGTCATTTGGGGCAGATTGTCGAGGTTTATAGCAGAGCGCGTCTGGCCGTAGCGGGAATTTTATGGGATTCGGGCTTTGGGATATGCGGCCCGGAGAGACGGGGGTCGTGGATTGAAGGGGGAGGGCGTGGGGGGCCCTGCTAGTCTTTTTGGGCCCCCGCATGGGCCCTCTGGGGCCTCTGCTGGGGCCCAGATCCCTCTCGTTCGCTTTCTATTCCACCTTAGCCCTTGGGGAGGGTTGAAATCGGAGAGAAAGTTTTCAAAAAACCCTAGGGAGTTTTGTGCTTGGTATAAATTTAAATTTTAAAATCGTGAAAATTAAATTTGATTATTTTTGTACTTCAGAAGATCAAGTACGTTTTATACTATAACTTATTATTTGGAGAGTTTCTCAAAAAACTAAAAAATTTTGTGCTTTACATGAATTTAAATTTTAAAAGACGTAGGAAAGTACGTTTTATACTTTAACCTACTAAAACCTAAATGCTCCCATAATTCCAAATTTTGAAAATACCGTATTCAAATTTCACTTTTCAGCTCTAGCGCAACCCCCGGACTACGGTATCGCTTCCAAACATCAAGAAATCAGCCCCGCAAATTATAGACCGACCAGTTCTGATTAAAAAGGAACCCAAAATTACCGTTTCCAAACCCCTGATTTAAAACGAATGCCTCCAAAATGCAAACTGAAAAAGGGAAAACTTCGTCTGGAAGTCCGCATTTTTAGCACGCCCAAGCGCCCCAATGAAAGGGTTGAACTTGATGCCGGAAACGGCGTTCAATGCCTAAATGCCGACAGCTTCCGAAAGCCTTTTTTTGCAAAAAGAGCAAAGACTACGGTGGACAAAGTTAAAAGTGGAAATTTCTGGAAACTTTGGGAAAACTGGGGAGGAGGAGTTTCCCCCGCGAACGTATGGCGGAGATCATATCGTGGCTGGTGACAAAAATCCATCAAGGACATCCGGGGGAAACAGTTTTAGAACAAAAAATTGACAGAGAGAGAGGGAGAGACGTGGGCGTGATGCAAAATATTTTAGTTCAAAGATGCGGCTCAAAAAACGTTAAAGTGATTTTTAGAAATTTTTGAAATCCGGAAAGCAGAAATAAACCGAATAAAAAGTTTCAAGTGAATGGCGATCGGATTTGTGCTGTGTCAATCACTATTATCAAAATGCTTTTAGCAGATTTTATCTACATCTATGAGCCGGAGCGACTTTTTGGACCAGAGATCACTCTGCCCTTCTTGGCCCTAAAGATAAGCATAGTGACATCGGGGTCATAAAGTTAATGGCGACTGATATACCAAGCTCTTGAATGTTACAACATGAAAATGTAGTAAAATATAGCTAAAACCACCCTAACCATCTCCTTTTAAACCAATGCCTCCACCCATTTTGTGAAAATAACAGACTCCCGGCCCGCGTGCTCCGACCCGGTCACCTAGCTCCCCGGCGAAAAATCAAGAGTCCAATGGTCCGGAAACGGAAAAGTCGTTTTTTTCTTTTTCTTTTCTCCAGCCATTTGTCGTTGAAAGTGATGCGCGAAATTTCCAAAAAGACCGGTTAGGGCGGAAACCCCCGAACCGTGATGGATTTTGATTTTCGTCTTTCGGCACGTGACTGACAGAGATCAGGCAGGGGGAATAGGATGCTCACATGGATGAGAAAGGGAATGCAAAATAGGTTTGGGAACGGGGGAACATATTAAAAAGCTATTTAAAATATGCTTTAAACCTTCAAATATCTGTTTGCTGTAATTTTTTGGAAACTTTGTATTTTACGACACGGTATCAATGCAAAAATTGAAGAAAAATTCTGAATTCGATCGTGAAATATACAATTTTATGCATTTTGTAAACTCTGCGTTTTTAGCACGATACCAAGCAAAAAATGGAGCTAGCTTTTCTGTTTTTATGTTGAAAAAGCTGAAAAAAGTCGCAAAAATACCGTTATTGCGATCCTCCCGAGTCCATTACGCACTTAATGACGTATCAAACGGCAAAAAACTGTTTGCTTTAACTCGATTCGTTTAACTATGGTAAAGAGATTTTTCTGCAATTTTTTGAGCATCGGCTGTTTTTTTTAATTATTTATGTATTTTATATTAATTCAATTGGGATTTTCTACAAAAAAAAGTAGATTTATCACAGTTATCAACCAATCCACCGAAAATTAAAGAACAGCTGCGGGTCTCACCACGAAAATGGCGGGGGTTAAATGGGTACCGAAGGCCGGCTAAATGCCATAGAAAGACGATGCGAGATGCCGGTGAACCAGGATGACCAATTTGTTGGTAATGCACGGTCGTCAGTCGGCTCCTCAACCCGAGGAGCTCGTCGCTGATGTCGGCGCGCAAAGTTGGTGATGTCCTAAAAAGCTGGAGCTCATTTTGCCAATTCTATTTCTTTTAAAGGAACTAGGAAGGCGAGAAGTCTATCCCAAACAGACTTGGCAAAAAGCCAGGTCGTTTCTAAGCACCCAAGTTATCTAATATTTTAAATGGAAATCGGAAATGGCACACTAACGGGTTTTGTGTTTATGCCTTGTTGCATTTCTCGGGCTCCTTCGCGTTTCTCCAATCCAGATTGCAAAATCCGCAGGTTGAGCGGCAGACCCGGAAGCCAAGACGGTAGTGCTCAGTTTCGCAAGACCATCTGGAAAAAGCTCTATTAACAACCCTTTTAAAATCTGTCTATGAAATAGATCAGGCTAAAACCATAACTAATTTTTTTTTAATTTTCTCTATTAAAATTGATACCTTCTCGCATTCCAAGCATCACTTCCAGTCTGAAACCTTCCGCAAAATGCTGGGCTCATCCTGTCAAAACAGTGCGTAGCGTTATGAGAAGAAGAGAAAAAGCTGAAAAACACGATCATACAGCGAGGGTTACGGTATCCAACTTGGCCGCTCGTTCCCTGTAATCTGTCCCAAGCTCGTTGCATGCTTTGCAACAAACGACGAGGGAGAAATCGGGCTCCGCAATGCATCTAAAGGCATAAATTAGAGTCTAAAAATTTGTTTTGATATTACCGGCTAGCAAATCCCCTAGGATCGTTGTTTTTTAGAGTGCGACACATGGAGCCACCGCTCTCATCTCGACAGCATGGTAAGGAGCGAGAGGTGTCTAGTGGAGTTGCCGTGCGAGCTCAAAACGATCAAAGTGACAATGTGGTAGCTTAGGTTTAGGCTTGGCTCAGGCTTGGCTTAGGCTTGGGCTTCAGCTTAGCTTAGAATTTGTTGAGGCTTAGGCTTAGGCATAAAGTTAGGTTAGGTCTAGGCCTAGGCTTCGCTTAGGCTCAGGCTTAGGTGTATCCTCAGCTTACCTATCACAAAGCTCTTTGGGACACTGTTCCTTTGTAAAAGTCGATAAGCCGGATGTTGATATTTCGGCCGATAAGCCAGAGAATTGTTCGTAATAGTGTCCTGCGCTAAATTGTAAAAATTAAGGCTTATTAAGAGGTATATTTCAAACCGAATACAGTAGCCACCATCCAAAGCCCGCACAGCACGCCCTTCATCAGGGCCTGTCGTCGGTAGATCTGTATCATTAGCGCCGCAGGGCTCTTCCACCCAATCCATGATGCTTTATAGGAGACAGCAGTGGGGGCCATGACAGTCCGCCGAGGACAAGCCCACACACACACAGACACCACACCCGTTTCGAACTCAAATAGCCCCTTCCGGAACGTCTTGGGGGCCAAATCTCGCCTCCCGATTCCGCACCCTTCCTCCACTAAAAATAAGCAAACGAAAAGGGGGGAAAAGCGGAGGAAATGACATGGCCGAATTGCAATTGGAACGGCTGGGAGGAAGAAGGACACCTACCGCAGACAGATCGGTGGGTTGGAACAAGAAGGCGAGAGAGAGAGAGAGGGAGAGAGAGAGAGAAAGAGCTTTTCATGAACTTAGGATTTTTAAGATTCAAAAAAACTTGAGCCGCCAGTTTTAGAAAATCGACCCACCTCTTGCCTCGCTTGCAAAGAGACGTTTTTGAGGGTCGTTCGGATTTCGGGATGGGGCCATCTAGTGCAGAATTCTGCGCTGATTCCGATTATTTTACCGTTTTTGGCGGAATAGACAAGTTACGTAGCTTCAAAATAGGTTTTAAAGATACAGCTAGTGCATCTTGTCCAGAAACAATTCTCTATAAATTGTGTCATTTGAATCGCAAATCTTGTGAAATTGAAAACATTTATACTTTTGGCGCCCTATCGGTTATTAAAATGTTTAAATTTTGAAAAATTTTGTGTAAAGTAGCTTTCTGGATAGAGGATTTGGTACTAACTCATCTCTCATCACTCACGCGATTATACTAACTCTTTTTTTCTAAAAACCTATATTGTGTTTTTTATGTCCATGGAAAGTAGCTGATTTGGGCATTTTTTTGGTTTGAGTCGTTCATAACTTGTGCGAATTGTCTTCGGCAAAAACGGTACTCTTATTCGGAATCAGCGCAAAATTCTGTTAGGTTTAGCCTCGCCTTGTTAGGTTTCAATCGCGCAAATCACTTGCTTGAAGGTCCAATGCATTAAAGTGAGGAATTTTCAATCCTGGCTAAATGAAATAGGCGCATCAATGCGAGTATACTGGCTGGAAAACAGTTCCTTAATGCAGTTATCTTTCCGCTACATATCCGCTCTATATAATGGATATCAACGTCCGCGATTCCACATAGATAAAAATGATTTGCTGGGCCTTGTATTAAATTTTTTACCCTGGCGATTCTCTTAATAAAATCCGTTCTAAGAACGTTCAATTCTACTGTTTATTATCCGCTGACAAATAAAAAATTTCTGGCGCGACAACTCGAAAACATTAAGATTACCGCTCATTGCCAGCCTACACCGCTTGCGTGCCGCCCTCCCCCCCCCCCCCGCGAGAGTTCAAAGGTCATTGACCCCCTTTCCCTCTCTGGTGGCACTGTAGCCGAATGGCTGGAGGCGCCCCTCCCCGCCTGCAGGGCCCGGGTTCGACCCCCGGCAGTGCCAGGATGGCCGAGGATGAGCAGCAGACATGCACGCGATATGCGTCTGAGTCAATCCTAAGGTACGGGGGTTAGATATGTGATCTGAAATTCTTACTGAGGCCATCTTTTTGCTTTTTGTTTGGATACCGCGAGGGCGATTGTTGCTATGGTATTTTTACTATATTTTGATGTCACCTTATTTTCAGTGGTTTTTTTGGGGCTCTTACCTAAAATCTGTGGAATCAACAGGTCTCTTATATGAAAATTAAAATTCGACATCCAGCGCTTTTGCAACTAATTCCAGGTAGAATGCCGACAGCCAAAATCCCAAAATATTTTTGATTTGTGTTTGAATGCCATCTGCTTGTAACTGATTTTTCTGCTGTCTTTTGTTAGCCAATTCGCATGTCGGACTTTAGCTTGTCGGGATTTCGGCCATCGGGATTTGTCCAGTTTGAATTTTGGTTTGTCGGTATTTTAGTCTGTCAGGATTTTGGCTGTCGCGATTTTCGGTGGTCGGGTTTCTGGCCTATAGGGATTTTGGCCTGTCGGGATTCGGCGGTCAACATCTGGCCCGTCGGTATTTTCCGCTGTCGGGATTTTACCTCATCGTAATTTTTGCTACCGGGCTTTTTCCATGTCGAGCGTTTGACTGGGGCGATTTTGCCTATCGGTTTTTTCATCTGACGAGATTTCGCTGTCGGGATTTTAGCGTTTTCCCTTCCCTCGTCTCCGCGAAAGTACCAAAAGACATGTACAACTACAACAACACACGGCACATCGATTCATTTCATCCCTTTTCTTCAGAAGCTATTCATTGGCGGGGGGTAATCCGCACCTCCCCAAGGCAGTCAACCGAAAACACGGATTTCCGATATTCCCACATCCCCTCATTCTATGCCCTCCAGTTTTTCATCAAAAATAACCGTAGGAGGTGGTGGATGGAAAGTAGGACTTTAGTGGGACTTGGCCTCTTTTCTTTATTATTGTTTTTGTGGAATGGCAGTGTAGTAGAAAGTGAGAGAGAGACAAAACGAGAGAGTGAGAGAGAAAAATTTTGCCTTTTGCTTTTTGATCGCGGCCTTGTCACTCAAACAAACACTTTAAAATTGAGGGCATGGCCTTACCAACACACAAAAAAGCACATTGTAACTGTTTACGGGTCCCCACTTGGCTCGTTGTCAATTGTTCACGGGCGTAGTGACCTAGTTCTCGTAGTTTATTAGTCGTCCGTCCCTGGCGCATCCGGCCATTTCACCGGATTTCGATGTAGTAAAAATCTGGGGGGGGGGGGTAGTGGCGAAATGATGTGGACATTTTCTAGGGTGGGATGTTGTGAGCAAAACACAGAGGTGACGCTCACAGTGGAACCAGATGGTTTTCGATAAGGTACTTAATTGCATTAGGCGGTATAGATTGGTGTACCAACAATGTCGTTTTTGATTTTATAGTAGGATACTAAAATATTGATTTTTTAAGTATTACTTGTTATAAAATACATTTAGTATTAATTTATTTAATTGCTAATTAAATTATGTAACGTTTTGCATAGATTGAAACTGTATTAACCGATAACCATTTCCATACTTTTCATATATTTTAAATAAACAGGCAGAACTGTGAAGTTTCAAAAATTTATTACCCAGCCCTTTAAAAAATCTTAAAATTAAATTATATTGCATCATAAAATATCTAGACAAATTTAATTAATTTGATTATACCCTGTGCAAAAACCTCTGAATTTTCATCCGTGACCGCTAACAAGGGAGGTCCAAAATACCCGCAACACCGATCGGGCTGAAAATCTGTGCACTGATAGAATCGACCACGCTGATAATCGCCTCGTTTTCCGAATTTGCTACAGAACCTCAAAATTTGAGATATTAAAGTTTTAAAACGATTCTTTAGTTAAAATTGCCGAACTTCGGACTCGATTATTTTTACCTTTTTGGCAGATTTCCGGAAAACAAGCATTGCCATCGGATTCAGAAAAATTTTCTCTTTCGAATGAACCCTCTAACTCAAAATTTTCGAAAACCCGGAAAATTGGAAAAAATTGACGGTACTTGTTGGTATGGGCTCCGAATTTACTATGGGAAATGGTAGAAAACAGCCTACTTCAAGCAGCTGTAGGATAGCGTCCAGGTCCTTTGTGCATTAAGGAAATATACCATTCGAATCAGAAAAAAAATTCTCTATCCGATAGGCTACGTAAAACAACTAGAAAAATACAAATAAAAAAGTTCGATATCCTGACAAACCCCTTCCCGGGGACCCAAAAATGACACTAAGACTTTAATATCTCAAATTTTGAGTTTCTGTAGCAAATTCGGAAAACGAGGCGATTATCAGCGTGGTCGATTCTATAAGTGTACAAATTTTCAGCCCGATCGGTGTTGCGGGTATTTTGGACTTCCCTAGTAAGGGACCACCCATTTGTGCACGATCATCAGCTGGGTTGTTGGTTTGGGCGAGTCGCCCCTTTTTTTCTCGCCAACAACGTATCAAATTACAGCAAAACACACGGGCATGTTTGCCTAATTCTTGTGCGATCCTCTTCTTGGTACTCACTGGCCATTATGCTGAGGAATTTGTGGCATTTTTGCGCGCGTGGGTTTTGCCTGTGTAATTGTGATTTTAAGAAATTTTTGCATTTCTTTGAAATGAGTAGGTCTTAACTAAGGCGGTAAGTCTCGGATTAGAAACCAAGGATTTTACGAAATTCACTTGTTGTTCTCATGCAAACATCTGCTGAACATCTGTGGGTCGTTTTCCGATACCGTAGTCTAATGTTGGTCCCAGGTATTGAGGGTTAATTCTCGTGGTATTAGCTTTTTATAAATTCTAGTTCCTGGTTTTCAAACTTCTTTTTGCACTTTTTGCCTCTTTTGCACTTTATGCCTTTTTGCACTTTGGCCTTTTTGCGCTTTTTACCTTTTTGCCCTTTTTCATCTTGGTTGGCTTTGACCAGTAAAACAGAACAATTTATGGCGGTAATTACAGAAAAGTACATGTGGAAAAGCACCTGTTTCCCTTGAAAATGGATATTTTTGTCTTTTAAAGAGTCAGGTCAGGCAAATCATAGATTTAGCGCCTTGGGCTTAACGTAAAAAACCATTTTTAAGCGATTTCTCGACCTGAAGGTGTTGTAATCAGTTACGTAATGGAAAGCCGGAGGTGCGCAACTACTAAATCTATAGACAGCTCATAACCAAAATACATTTCCATGCCTTGTATGTCCCTTTAAAGGGATGTCGAAGGGAGAACCCCTTTTGCGCTTTTGGCTTTTGGCCAAGACCATGCATCCAATTTTTCGATGACTTTCCATAACGAGAATACCATTATAGGACATTTAGACTACGGTATCTCATAGCTCACCTCATCCGCTTAAATTTTTGAATATTTTCCAGAGCTAAAATTTTATATTTTAGGCAATTTTACTACGGTATCTCGCCTCATCGCCTCACCCGCTTTTTAAAAACAGCCCACGTCATCCCCCCCATCAACGTAGCAAGGCGCGAAAGCGTTTGATAGCTCCGTATTTAGCCCGGAGGCACATTTATCGCGTCGCGATGCCCTTCTCCCCGTCGCGCACCCGAGTAATTTCCCGTTTTTGGGCCACGCGTCGCCTCATTTCCGATGAGC